ACAGCCAGGATTTAGCACCAAGAGTTCAGGAATGCCCAGCACTGGGGAAAATGTTCTTTGCAGTGAGAAGAGCAGACTATGAAGGATATTGGAAGAGTCAGTGGACCTCAATTCCATTAAAAACAAGACTTCTCATTTGCAGGTAGATTTCTACTTTCACCTGACTATTAGAAATGTCTTCCAAAGAGTTTTTCTTAGTGCGGGTAATATCCCTAGAGAAGTTTTACAGGAATGACGARATCTGTTGTGTGAGGAAAGGCTCCCATTTACTTGTGTTCTTCCACTAAACCTACAAAAACTCCATATTTGGCACTGTAAAAAGGTACATTTGCCCATGGACTGACTGGCTGGAGGTACTGGTGTCAAAGCCCTCCAGCACAGTCCTCTGAAATGAGGGAAATCCTGTGTGTTCAGGGCTAACTAAAAGAAATGCCTTTACTCTRTATCCCAGAGAAAGGGAGTGTAAACCCTTGTCACGTTTTTGTGCCTCAGCAGAGCAGTTTGACTTGCTGAGGGGCTCTGTGCATGTCAGCATTTCACTACTGTATTCTGAAATTTCATTTTCCCCYCATTTTGGAGATTATCAGCCGAGATAAACATTTCCCAAGCAACCCCTCCRCAGGCACTGCTGCAATAACTCATTTCTAGCGATGTATTTCTCTCAGGGATTTRCAGACAGTAAAGACAATTGATAGTTTGACTACCAGAAACAAGTGGGGGGGAAATAGAGCCCAATGAAAAGATAATGGATCTCTGGGTTTTTGCAAGCACGTGTGTGGGTGTTGCAGATTTTGTTCCAGCATGTTGTAGACAGGTTGGAGGGTGGATTACAAGATGCTATTTTCAGAAAATAGGACAACCTGCCAAAACATAGAGCTTTTTTTTTGCCTGTTTTTTTTCACCAGATCCTAGTAAAGGAATGGAGAAACACTAACCCCCATTGAGAATTTTTGGAGGCAGAACTTTATCTGTTATTTGTTAATCCACACACTGATCAAAGCCCAGGGGAGGAAATCTGTGCTGGTTTATCCATACCATTTGAGCACGTATTTGTGTAAATTGCATGCTCTGTTGGCTTCAAGTCTGAGTCCTTTGTGCATTTCTGAAGGGGCTGAGTCAAGCAAGATCAGATCACTCACCCTCCTGCTCTTCTGTGTCTGCTGGTGGAGTGAGCATTGGGACAGGACAGATCTTTGGGGCACTTGGCTCTGCCCATTTCCATGCTCCAGGATCATCAGGGGAACTCAGCTGCTCCAAAAATTGGTGGGCTGTGATTAAAAGAAATCCTGRCTATTGTGCTGAGGAAGTTCAGGAAGAAAAGGCAACTTCACATTCACATGGAGAGAGCGCAGCTCCTGCTCCCCCACGCACACGTAACAGCTGTAGCTTTGTTCAACGTGTCTGGCTTCATGTATTGTTTTCAGAGCAAGGGTAATTAGTGTCTGAAAATGTAACTGCTCTTTGCTATTGTGGAAYGATGTAAAAATCCCTTTTTTTTCAGTGTAAAACATTCCTGCCCTCTTTTGATCTTGTCAAGCTAGACAATACAGCTGTCTTGTCATCATATTTCCCACGGCAACAGAGAGTTTGCAAAATGGTGGAAGAAACCTCAGAAGCCCTTAATTACTGTGACTTCATCAGTGAAACTTGACTGCCTTTGGTGGACTTGCTTCAGATTGAAGTGAATTTGAGGGAATTTGGGCCTGGGTGGCTTGGCCATGGCAGTTTTTAACAATGGGGACGGTGATGGTGATGATGGGCACCAAGGATGACCTTAGTGCTGCTCTGCTGAGTGTGGGGTGCAAGATCACATTCCAAAATCAGGAGCTTTATTTCTGAATTAATAGCAATACTCAGGGCAGTAAAAGGCAGGAAAAACCCTGGAGAAACTTAGAGGGGGAAAGGTTTCCCTAATTAAGTAACTTCATTACTGTTGTGTTCCTTATTTGCATTGTCCATCAATCTGTGAAAATCACACTTGTTAATGCAGCCCAACAAATGTTTGCAAAGTGCAGAGGGTGTGATTGCAAAGGGTCACTCTTGGGGCTCCTGATTTTGTTTAGGAAATGGAGAGGCAAAGGTGGAATGCAGGGGTGGTGCTGGAAATGAGAAAAGCAGCAGAAGGAAGGCACTGGCCAGGGATGACTTGAAGGAAAAAGGGGGGCTGCAAACAATGAGAGATAAAAGATGAAAGAAGAGCAAGTCAGGGGGAAGTAAGAGACAGAACAAGTGGAATTATATCAAAAGTGGGAGGCAGAGGCAATTAATGTGTTGTGAGTCATCACCAAACAATCCTGCCCCCAGAAAGGCTGACTCAGCAGCACCAGTGGAAAAAAATCAGAGTTTCTCTTGGAGATGCCATTCCAGATCAAAGAGGKTTCGATTAGTGAAACTGGATTTTCTGTCACTGATCCTCCCCTGCCTTAAAGAAACTTTTCAAATGTATCATGTAAAGTCAGCACCCACCCCAACCACCRCAGGGCTTGGCTCCTTCACTTCTCTTCCCTGTCACATCTCCTCTTCCCAGGTCTGAATCATGGTCTATTTTGGGGCCCTTTGCACAACAGAGATCTCGGTTGTTTTGGCAGAGGTGAGGTGGCCACAAGAGGCACCAATTACTGCACATCCTCTTAGAGGCCAGGGRAATCTAAAAAGAAGAGCAAGTGAATAAAAATAACTTGATGGAAGAAGGTTTCTGTGATCTTGTATCCCTGACAGGTGCCTGGCCACAAAAGCACTGCTGGGAAGGTACAAGTGTGATGTTAATATATGAAGATTTTTTTCTGGCTTATGATTCAGAACTGAGGTGCAGCCAGGAAAACAGAGAATAAGAAAGGAAAATTGTCTCAGTTACTTTACTGTGTTTTGTAAAAGCTGGTGGTTGTTGATGGTGAGTCTGGGCTGTGTTGACTGTGGACAGTCAGAGGGGCAAGTGTGGGCCACTCCCAGCCTGAATCTGGACAAAAACATTCCCTAAATTATTTCCTCTGATATGCACAGGATTTTGAGCTACTGCAACACCATGTGTTGTCCAGCCTGAATTTCAGGGGAGAGGAAAAAAAACCGTCTACAAAACACATGAAGAATTGCCTCATTCTTCTTTTTCTTTTCCTCAAAGCACTCGGATTGTATTTAATGTAGCTCAGCCCAGTTTCACAGGGCTTGTGCCAGTGATGTGGGGGGAGGAGATAACAAACCACAGAGCTCCCCCAATGCAGCAAAGCCTGGCCTTGTTGGGCTCAGCTGGAGACACAGAGCCCACATCCTAAAACAGCAGCGTGGTACCTGAGTGTGGCCCTTCAAGCACAGCCAATGCCATGAGTTAGTGAAGAACCAGAAAAGGATGCTCAGGCATTTGGAGGTTTGGCCCAACAACAGCAACCAGCCAAAGAAAACCCCACAGAGTCTTCCACAGCTTTTAGGGGGCTTTGAAACACTGTTTTGTTCGGTGTCAATACAGCACCCAAGCAGCTGTGCATGAGGAAAGCAGAGAAAGCTTCCTTTTTAGGCTCAAATCATGAATTTCAAATCTTTCCATTATCGTGGTGATGGTTAGAACAATGCCACTTTCTCTCCAGACTGCAAAATTGGCATGACAGGCACTAGGAGATCTTACTTCTCCTTTTATGCCTCAAATTTAGATAAGAACAATAAGCCCTGATGAAAAGTATGTGTGCAGTGATGCCAGGATACAGTGAAGTCAGAAAAYTGATCATGAGCATTAAAGTCTCTCTTGTGTTCCGATTTCATCAGGCTTTGCTGCCCTGACGCAGGAAAGGCGATTCAGCCACTGCTCATCTCTGCAATCTGGGCAAACTTGGTTTTTGTTTTCATCCCACCAATACTACAATGACAGGGAATAAAATCTCTGAGGCAAATAACTGGTGTTATTCATCAGCCACTGATGAAAAGGTCCTGCCTACACGTTTGGGTACATTTAGTCTGGACCAGCAAAAGCAAAAAAGTCATCCAATCCTCCAATGTCCATGAATCCATCTTCTGTGATTTCTGCTGTGGGTACTTTGTTTTCCTCTGGGGAATTAACTTTTTATTTAGCCAAATATAGTTATGGCTGCTGCTGCCATTGGCTTGCTGCTGCACACATTAATTGCCCTTGAGCAGAGGAATGTCTCCCAGAAGGCCCAGTCCTTTCTCAGCACCAGATCATCAGTTCTTTAATTGCTGCTGGTTTCGCTCACCCTGCATGGAGCAGAACAACGTGATTCCTCATTGGGCTCCACCTCCCCACTGATGTGAATCTGGGCCATGCAGCAGGACCTGCCAAAATGACCCCTCCATGTATCCTCTTTCTGAATCAGAAATTAAAATTATTAAAATTAAAATTATTAAAGCCAAAAAGGCTCTCACAGGAGCTTCCAGACAGAACTAGAAATCTATTAGCTTGGTCACTGMTAAACGGTGTCTGACTATGAAGTTGGGGTTTAGGTTGCTTAAACCAGGACTATCAGACTTTTTCTTTGATCCAAGTTGTGTATTTCTGCTGCAGCTGGATATTAAAAGCCTTTAATGTAGAAGAACTGTGTGGCTAACAGCCACAGGTAACTCTGCACTAGGAAATTTTATACAGGAAATTTGTGAATGTCCAAACACAGGTATCCCGCGGGCTTAGTACCGAGGACAAGACCTGTTTTCAGCTGCCTGGATTGTAAGAATTCGGGAAGCAAATTGTTTCTCATTTTATCCTTTTTCAGTTGTTGCCATGGCAAAACCCCAGAGAGGACGGGGAGGGTTGTACCAAACCACTGGAACAACAACTTTTCCCTGGGATTGATTAAAAGATGTGCTCAGTCTCACCTTGGCACTCCCAGGAAAGTAACCTCACGTGTCCCAGCGGTTCTGAGGAGCACAGCCCCCAGTTACTCACGGGGATCAATGCGCATCAGCAACGAGGCAGAGACCGAGCAAATGTATTCACCTCTGTTCAGACAGCAGTTTCCACTTTCTGTACTTCACCTGCTGCTCTTTGGGATGTTTTCCAGGTTGCATCAAGTGAATTTCGAGGCTCCCACTTGCGAAGGCAAGCGCCGGGAAACGCTGGCCTTGATAGGGGACTTCTCCTCCTCGGCGGAGTTCTTCGTCACCATCGCGGTCTTCGCCTTCCTCTACTCGCTGGCTGCCACYGTGGTTTATATCTTCTTCCAGAACAAGTACCGTGAGAACAACAGAGGGCCTCTAATTGTAAGTGTTTTCAGCATTTGTGGTGTTTTCAGGCACAGGTCTGCACCTCCTGTTTCTTGGTTGTTGAGGTTTTGGTGTGGTCTGGGAGWTCCAAGTGTCCCACTGCCCAAAGCATTCACCTGCTTTTTTATCTTAATGGTGATTTTAAATTTTAACACCATTAACAGAAGAACTTTAGTCCTAATCCTATATGTATTTGTGAAATTCTGTACTTCTCCCCCCTGCCCACAGTGATGATAATCACACAAATAATGAACATGTAGCTGAGTGGTAGCAGGATTGGGGTCTGAGCCCTGTGTCTCTGACATCAGAGCTTCATTGATGGGGAAAAAAGGGAAGAGGAGATCTTAGGCTTCGTCCTAGTAAACAGATGAAACCATGCCCCTGATCAAAGCCCAGCCAGGGAGATTGCTTACTGCTAATTACTGCAGGGTCCAGCCAAATTATTTTGCTTTGGAGAATKATGTGGCTGTTTTTCTAGTATGACACGGAGCTCTCAGCATGTCTGTGTTTCTACTCTGGTTTATGAGCCTTCCTCTGGTTTATGAGTTATCATCCTCTGCACCCATCAAGCTGTGGCTGTTGGTGCCTTTATTTTTCTTTTCACTGATTCCTGAAGGCTTGTGATAAAAAGCAAGTGCTGCTGTGAGTATATTTTCTCATAAATTGAGACTGTAAAGCCAGTGAGGGCTGTTTTGGTCCAGGTGTTTKTTGCCTGTCAGTGCATCGTGGCCCATGAGCACCCTGTGCTCCTGCTGGGCTGCTGAGGCTCTGCTGACCTTCACCTGCCCCAAATTTGGGTCAGCTCTGTGCATCTCCRGGGCTGCAGCACAGTCTCCCTTCCATGGACATCCCTCTCCCTCATGACTGCAAGGAGAAGGTTCCTAAGAGAGGAAATAGCTCTCTGGAGTCTTGGTGTGAAGATGGGAGGAGTTTATCATGGACCAGTGTAAGGAAAAAAWTAGTTCTGGATTTCAGAAAAATCAAAAGTTTAGGACTGACAGAAACCAGACATTTTGCTGAGACTTGTGCATTCAGTGGCTAAAAGCCATTAATAAAGAATATCACAAATATATAGCAGGAAGAAAAATAAATCAGTGCAGAAAAGCTGAATCTATTAAAGGAAATAACTACAATAACAGCCAGCAAAAGATTAAACTGTAGGAAGGTAAACTTAGCATCATGGGGGTTTGAGGGAAAGATTTTCCTGCTGCAAGGACATGTGAGCTGTTTTCTGTAAGTTTGCATAATTCAAAACTGATTAATCGTTACCAAAAAAATTATTTCTCCATATCAAAGGAAATTAATCCTCTTCATCTGGAGGTTCTTGGAACCTTTCCTGTCCTAGAAAATGGTGAGGAAAGGTGGGGAAATCTTCACAGAGAAGAAAAAGARCAGGCAAGATAAAGGGATCCCTACAGAAAGAGTAAATAAATAAAGTGCCTTGCTTCTTCCTGATGCAGTTGGTATCAAAAATATATCTCAYTTCAAACTGTCCCATCAAAGGATCAGTTACAAGATTCTGCCATCCTAATCTTCTTGCTGGAAATAATTCTTGCTTTTGACCAAGCACATCACCCTCTGTAGAAATAGAAAAAGGGGAGAGAAACATAGTACTGTTATGTCAGGTTATGATGTGGCCACTTGCCTTTGTCCAGGACTGTCCTGAAGCAGCTGCTGCAGCCGTGTCTGTCACAGGATGTGCTGCACAATCCACTACAGTGTTAGCGTCACATTGRCTTAATTTGTTCTGTGTAATGGATTGTAATTGAATCCACAGGTTAAATTTAACAGGGTCTGTTACCAAAGCCTCTGTTTGCAATTTCCCACTATTTAAACCGAGGCTATGTGACCTTATTTGTTCCGAATATGAAGATGTTTTTGAGTTTGTCCTACAGCAAAAGCAGCTCCTGTCGGTGAGTGGTTCTGGGAAGTGGCTGAGGGTTATGATCARCTCATGCCTGACAGGAGGAGAGTCCCATCTTCCCAGCCAACACACTTCAGCATCCCCTGTGTGCTGCAAGCTCTGTTGTATTTGGTATTTTTAGAAAAAAAAAGAACCTTTTTTGCCTGGAGCACATCCTCACTGGTGTCCCTGGAGAGTGTCCAGTGCAATGATTGCAGCACCACAGCCTGGCTGGGGACAGGGTGTGACTCCCCCWGTGCAGAGGAGCTGTAGGGAAAATGCAGAGCCCCAGGCAGAGAAAAAGCTGGCAGYTGTAGCCAGGAGGAATTCAGGGGTCAAGGGAAAAGGAAATTTGGAGTGCAAAGCAGCTTGTCAGGGCTGCAGTGCTCACCTCAGGGATGTCACRCGCCCTGTGAAGGAGGCAGGCGGCGCATCCTCCAGCTCCAGGCAGATGCTGCTCTGATCTGACGTGCATCAGATCAGATGTGTGAGTATGCCTCATCCCTGAGATTGTTCCTTCCAAAGGAAAGTGCTGCAGGAATCTGTGGTGCAGCAGCAGTGCCCAGCACGTGTTGGTGGAGGCAGGGCAGCCCTGACTCTGTTTCCTCACCAGGCAGGATCAGTGCATCAGGAACCATTTCCAGACTACCAGGTTTTCCCCCTCTTAGTGAAGAGTTTGATAGTTTCATCCATCCTTGCTTCTKCTGCAGTGCCTGATCACAATTTCCTTGTTAAAACCATTCCTGTTTTAAGCCTTGTACTTCCTCTTGGCTTCATATTTTTTCAGACTGGGATGACATCTGCCTTTAAGCAGCACCCTCTCAGAGCTGCCTTTTCTGCTGACAAATTTTCAGGATTTGAAAAATGAGTATGACAGGAGAAGTGGGGAGAGGAAAAAAAACCCTTTCACCTGAAATTTTTAAATTTTTTTTTTCAAAAAGCCCCTGCACAGGCAGTCAGAACACCATCAATGCATWACCAAATTGCAGCAGCCTGACTGGGTGCAGGAGATATGATTATAAGGAATTTAAAGACCATTAAGTCACAAGAAACTTGCAGGGAAAATTTCAGTCACGGGTGTTTCAAGTTTACCTTGTTTATACAGATACAGGGAAATGAACTGCATGTGCTGAGATCTCAGCGAAGCATCACTTTAAATGTGGAAAAATACTTTAGCGTTCAGTGTGAAGTGAGGCATGATGGCAAGGAAATATTTCCAGTGGGAGAAGCAGTTAACTCCTTCTCTGGCTGTTTGGATGGCAGTGGTGTGTTTATTCCCTGTGCAGCGAGCCAGTTCTGTTGCTAATGTTGCCTCCCAGGTTTTGGGGATAAAATCTTCATTTTGGCTGTGCAGGGTTGTGTTGCTCATCCATTCCCAYGGGGCTGGCAGCAGCGAGTCCTTATGCACCCTCTGCTCCCTGAGGGGGTTCTTACAGATGGATGGAGGAACCTTGGATTGCCAGGTTCTGAAGGAGCAGGGAGCAGGTTTCCAGGGAGCTGATATCTCATAGATATGTGCTGTGTGTTTGTGAGCTCTGCAAACCACAGCTGTGATTTTCATTCCATTGTGAGCTCCCTCACGGTGCATACGTACAGCAAGGAGCTGGGGGCTCACCTTGGTGGGYACAACGAGGGCAAGGCAGCTTCTCAAGTGGCTGGTTAGTGCTCAAGAGCCAGAAACTTTTCAAAAGAATTAATTGGAGGTGCTGACTTAGATTTTAAAGGATGTGATGTACAAAATCCCACCWGTTTTCAGTATATCCCCATCTCTCAGACCAAACCAACCTCAGCTGGCTTCCACTTGTTTAACAGAACATACCTGGGGAGGATTGCTGGTTTGTGATGAGAGCAGAGATGAGCTGCACCCTGGGACTGCCAGCCCAGGCCCCTGTKTTGATGCTCTGCTTCAGCTCTATACATGAAGATCTTTACAGCTGTGCTGGAGTTTTAGGGGATCAGGGATAGGAAGCTTCTATATTTCTCAGAAAATAAAAAATAGGCACAGTCAATGTGTATCAATCCTTTGCCCCATATGTGCTCCATTTAAAATCCACATGCTGACAGCCCTATGTGCCTTCAGGATTGTCTTTGGGAAGTTACRGCTTGGCCATGAGAAGCCACATTTATTCATGTATAAATGTAAATCACGTTATTAATATTCCAATCAATTAATATAGAAGCATGAAATTATGCAGCCATGAAAGGTGACTGACATAGCCCTGAAAAGAGATAGTTCATTTTTGTAGTGATTACGTGATAATCTTATGGTGCATAAAGATGCTTGCATCTTAAGAAGGAGATGAGATCTTTCCTTTGCATCTCGAGTCCTGTGAATAATCATATTATGCAGAAAGGCATTTGGTTCCTTACATATGTTGCAGATCGAGTGAGTTAAGTACACTCTGCTCTGCTCCTTGGACACCTTTTTGATTRAACGTGTTGTACTTCCTCACCCATGTCCAGCTGTCTAGAAAATAGATAGGAAAAGAATCAAGGATCAAGAGCCATCTATAAAAACAAACACTGAATCCTTCGCAGCTGAAAAATGAAGTCAGGAAGAACCTGAGATTTTTTTTGCATTTCAGAGAGCTGTTTCAGGCTGCTGTTGTCATCTCCTTTTGAAGCACAAGCCAGGGTGACCTTGCTGCACATGCTGGTGCCTCCCAAAGGGCTCGGCACTTTCCTGCCAGAAGCAAGCTCACAAGGCCTTACACCATTGCAAGAAGCATGTAATTCTTTCAAAGCTTCATTCGGCAGAAAATCTGGGATGGGACCTCGTTCAAACCAAAAAAGAGCTAAAATGCCACTGTAGGAAGGCGTTTGCTGCCTGCAGCAATCTGCTGTTGGCCGCTTTCCCGGCTGGGACCGGGGCTGTGCCTCTTGCTGGGGTAGTTGTTGAGCTTTTAGCTTGGTTGTGACTGTGAAAGCAAATCCTCTGAGAGGTTTGCCCCCACTGGGTGAAGAAATCTCCCTCTGCTCCTTCATGGCTGGCCATGAAACCTGCTGGCAGCGCTAGACTGACTGGAAGGGTTTGAGGAGCATTTGAGGAGTCGCTCCCTTGGATGCTGTGGATGTGTGAAGGTTTTCCCAAAAGGAAAGGTTTTGCAGCACGAGCCCTGCATGGAAGCCACTCACAGCACAGGGAGGAGGGTGCCAGAAGCCCTCTGGCCAGGCCAGAGCAGAGGTTTTGGCTGTTTCCAGCCCAAAACCATCCAGCCAGGCTTGGCTGGGAGGGCACACAGGGACACGAGTGTCACAGCCTTCAGGGGTCTGTGCTGGCAGCCACTGGACACACAAAACACAGCCCCTTTCTGAGCTTTCTCAGCTTCTGCAGAGGCTCTTGGCTGGCTGAGGTTGGGCCAGACACTGGGGAATCCAAAACTGTGCTCAGGAGGCTCAAGGGACTGTGAGTGACTGTCCCTTTCAAAGAGGCACATCTTGCAAAAGCCGGTAGCTGGATAGCAAGGAGAAGAATTTCAATTACCATGAAAAGAAAAGGTATTCWCAGTTCTATTCTAAAACTTAAAATGTATAAAATTGTTCCAAGTAGGCATTTTTGGCAAACTCAGTAATAACTAGTTTCAACTTGAAAAAGGCAGCAAGAATTTTTTTTTTTTTTTGCACATACTTCAGGATCTTAAAATGTCCCTCCTTGGATATTCTGAGTGTTTTAAATTTCAGTTTTTGCCTTTCTTTACATGTTCCTATTTTCCTTCCTTCCCAAAGGCACCTGTAGGCAGAGCAAAGTATCTCAGCTGAGATCTGAGTGAGAAACTTAGCAATTAGGAGTGTAGTGTAATCGTAAAACAATACACACTGAAGAGATCTATCGACACCACTTTAAGAGAGCAACTACAAAAAATTACTTTGTTCCAAAGGAAAAAAAGACTCACCCTTGCTATAGGGATATTAAACATTGAAATGCAAGATTTGTTTTAGTATGCAGGCACTCCGGCCTTAATTACCAAGGAGAAATTCCCCAGATAGACATTAAGCCACAGAACAGCTTAGCTTGAAATTCACTTTTATTTTCAGCATGTCATTATMTTGTAACTCTGTTCCACCCAGAGCTGTGAAAATGTTCAGCCAGAAATGCAAACCCACTTGAAAACAAGAGAGGTTCAAGTTCCAGCCAAAGCTGAAGGTTCGCAAAGATTCAAAATAAATAGGAAGATGCAAGTTTCCTCTAGTCATAGAATTGAACATTTTGCTCTCTGCACTGTGCAGAGGAGGCAGAACAAATCCTTCAAGAGCCTGAATCTGGCCATGAAGCCCTGATGAGAACACCTGCTGAAACAATCCCAGTGTTCCATGAGTTTTTGGCGCTGTTCCCTTGGCCAGCTGGTGGCCAGGCTGTGTGGTTTCCTTTGGAGTCCCCGGTGCTGCCTTTCACTTCTGGCTCTGTGTGTTTCCTGCACCCAGCCAGACTTCACAGCTTCTGGGAGTTCCTCTATGCAAGAGCTGATCCTGCCATCCCAGGAGCAAGAACCCTTTCCCCAAGGCTCTGAKCTGCTCTGAAATAGGGGAATTTGGGGGTGAGATAAGGCTGTGAGCACCCTGCCACAGGGGAGGAGAGGAATTCAGGAGAAGGCTGGAGCTTGGGCTGTGATGGAGAAGAAAAGACATAAGAAATAACATGAAATACTTAATGCCTTTAGGACCATCCCTTCAGATGGTGGGATGGGATGTTCCTAGAAGGACTAACAGCCCAGGGCTACCAGCAGTCAGTGAGGGGGCTCATGCAGATGCAGTCATTTGTGCCATGAGTTGTGCAAAAACCTCACCAACACAGGGCCTGTGAGCTCAACAGGTCTCTACCCCTGCTGCTGTCACCTGCTTCAAGAACTTGGCTTGCTTTTAAAATTTCTCTCTTTTTAGCAAGTTTAATCTCCGGTGTTACATTAGTTTTAGTCAGTTTGCCTCTGCTTGCATCAAATTTCTACCTGCTGCTATGYATTTCTTTTCTTGGCATTGCCAGTGCACTGATTACAGAGCTGGATTTAGTTTGCAAAGGCTCCAAGTGCTGTGGCACTGGGAGAGGGTTGTTTGTCATATAAAAAATACATTCCCCAAAATTCTGCTGTGTCCCCATGTCCTGTCAGTCAGAACCTGTCTGGGGGCTTGGCATCTGGCTGGACAGCATGTCAAACCTCACAGCAAATAAAGAGCATCTCCCACCATCATCCGCAGCTCAGCGGGTGTCTGGTGTTTCCACCAGCTGGAATTTTTAGGAACTGTTTGCAATTGAACTGTTGCCTCTAGGAATCTGTTTCTCATTCAYTGCTAAGACATACGAGATACGATAATTTCTTTAGCTGGAAATCTCCCTGAGAGGAAGAATTACTTTGGGCTATATGGCTCTGCCCACACGGAGTCTCTTTGGGTGTTAAGAGAGTTGTCAGCTCCTGGGCGTCACGCTCCTCAAGAGAGCCCATTTGGGCAGCGTGAAGGAGGTCAGGGGAACTCAGAGCTCGGTGGCAGACACAGGCCTGCAGAAAACAAATTGTTAAAAGRGAAGGATGTGTCCTTTGGGAAAGCATCCAAGCACAGTTAATTCAATCCCATCTGCGTGAGTGGAGGCATCCTTTGTTCCTGGCTCGCTCGTGCGGCGGCYGCGGCGACTGGTGCCCCTTCCACCCCTGTGGTGCCCCTTCCCCAAATGCCAGGAGTGCTTGGAGAAGGATGTTTCCTAGGGATTGCTGATTTCTTTGGTGGCAACCCAAAACATGGGTTTTTTGATGAATGTTTTCCCTTCCTTCCATGCACACCTTCATTTTGCAAGGGGGAAGGGGAGGCAGCCCCACGGGAGGTGGGATATCAAGACGCAGCGATGCAGTTAGTGGTATGTTAGACTTTGGCACCTCTGCCATCTGTTGTGGGCTGACAGATGGGATGAAATATGACAGCAGAAAGGCTCTTCTGTTTTAGCAAGACACAAGAAAGCTTGAAAAATCACACCTCCTCCCTCCTTTCCCCCCAAACCCACACAACAAYAGTGTCACTTGGCCACTTGTTCTGGCTAAGACAAGGAGAAGTTTATGCCTGTGCGTGCTCCTGAGAGTCTTCCGAGGGGAAAGTGAGCAGAGTGGATCAGAGCAGAGCTGCTCAGAGGTGCTGGAACCTGGAGGGACAGCACACCTTCTCCCTCCTTTTCACATGGATGGGAATTAGGAACCAGTGCCTTACCAGGCCAGGGGGGTGTCTCTGCTTGGCAAGCCTTGCTGTTTATTTGCTCACTCATGGTAATTAGTGGCTGCATGGCTCATGCAGCAGGGACATTTGGCCTTACCTGTGGCTGGTGAGAAAACTCCTCATCTGGTACCTGAGGATTAGCCAATTTCAGGTTCTCCCTGAGACAGAAACACTTCCTATTGCAAAYCCACCCCGGCTGTCTGTAGGAGTAACCAGGGCAAGACCCAGCCCTTAGGAGGGCCCATCTTCTTTACAGGCATGTGTATTTTGTAATTCATCCCAATCCATCAGCCTGGTGCTGTGAACAGACACATTTTCAAGRCAGCTCAGCCTGCTGGGTACCAGCCATGTGTTTGTGGGAATCTTGCCTCAAGGCCAGAGGTGCAAATGTCAGCCAAGGGGCTCTGCTCCATTAGGCATGTCAAGCATTTCTGAAAATCAGCTCAGTGGGTGATGACAGTAACACAACCTTCCACCAAATAACAAGCTCTTGGTATTTCTCCCCTCTGACACAAGCTTTCGKTTTTTCTGGTGATTTTTTTAATATTTTTTTTTCCTTTCCAATGGACACACCAGTATAATGCTTCTAACTAATTTGTCTTTTAGGATTTCATTGTGACAGTGGTCTTCTCATTCTTGTGGCTAGTGAGCTCATCCGCTTGGGCTAAAGGACTGTCAGATGTAAAGGTTGCCACTGACCCCGATGAGGTGCTGCTGCTGATGTCTGCCTGCAAACAGCAGTCCAACAAATGCTTGCCCGTTCGCAGCCCTGTTATGTCAAGCCTCAACACTTCGGTTGTAAGTGACTTTGATTGCTGCTGTTCRCCCTTACCTTGCGATGTATTTTCATCTTTTAGCCGTGTATTGACCTAAATTGACTGGTGCAAACCAGTTAGCTGAGATGATTTAATTGGAAGTGCAGCCTTGCTGCGGGGAAAGGCAGGCTGTGAGTCACAGCAGGAGCAGCAGCAGGATGAGTGTGCAGGGCTGGGATGGGGAGAAGGCAAAGTGTCTGTCCAAATGCGTTGGTTGGCCCCTCTGCTTTTAATTTGATCATTGTGAYGCTTTTGGGAAGGGGTCTGTGTGCTGCTTTAGGAAGGAAAGGTTTGTGCCTTACAGATTCCTTTAAAAATAAAAATAAAAACCCAATATCAAATTGTACTTTGTAATGTTAAAAAAAAAAAAACCCACAAAAAATCCCCTCCAGGCCAGCTGACCAATTAAGATACCTCTTTTTAATTAGTTTCTTTCAATTTTATCTTTCCTCAGTTTCTTTAAACTACATTATGTTATCAAACAAAAAAAAACCCTTATTTTGGCCTCAAACTCAACCATTTTTTGGAAACAAAAAGCAAAGCAGACACCTTGTGATCTACAGCTAAGGGAGGTAAATTTGGGGATTTGCTCCAAAGCTGAGAACATTTTCCAGCGGGTTTTGGGAGAATCATAGAATCATTTAGATTGGRAAAGATCTTAGAGTCCAATCACTAACCCAGCACTGCCATGTCCAGYGCTACACYGTGTCCCCAAGTGCCACATCTGCACTTACCCCCMWSGRACRGTGACCCCACCACTTCCCTGGGCAGCCTGTTCCACTGCTTGACAACTGTTTCAGTGAAAAGGTTTTTTTTTTCTAATGTTCAATCTGAGTCTCCTGTCACACAACTTGGGGCCATTTCCTCTCGTCCTTGGGAAGGAGGGGTTGGGAGCAGCTTTGCCTTCTCCCAGAACTGTGCATAACATCAGGYTGGGCTGTGAGACCGTGGCTGATGGTGACCAGCTCCTCTTCTTCCCACGCAGGTCTTTGGCTACTTGAACTTTATCCTGTGGGCAGGCAACATTTGGTTTGTGTTTAAGGAGACGGGCTGGCACTCCTCGGGCCAGCGGCACGCCGCCGACACCATGGAGAAGCAGCCCGGCGGCTACAACCAAGGTGGCTACAACCAAGACAGCTACGGGCCATCTGGGGGCTACAACCAGCCAGGCTCCTATGGCCAGGTGGGTGAATATGGCCAGTCCCAGAGCTACGGGCAGAGYGGGCCAACCTCCTTCGCTAATCAAATTTAGGGTTCACGCAAGCACAAGCTCTTGCATCCCTCACACGTAGAGAGTTTTAACAGGTCTCAAGTTTCAGTGGCGCCAGATTTTTAAGGGTTCTACATAAATTAATACTACAACACRGTGTTTAATGTCCATTGAAGGTCTAAGCCCACCTCCTTTGGCAGATGGGAGGTGGCCAGTGGGCTGGAGTTGGCCTTTTTTTTCCCTGACTAGCCAGACACAGGGGATGTGCTCCTCGCTGGTGACCTGGAGTCGCTGTTGTAGTACGTACTGTAGAGATAACTTTATGGTAGTTTTGTATGTGTTAAGATGGTAGAAGCATTTTGTAGCCTCAAGTCTGTAGTATTTAATATGCATAATATAATTGAATTTCCTTCTGCATTTTGGTGAAAAAACGGAAGTGTTTTACTATGATTTCTACAGATTATTCTGTATATCCATGCATGTAACATTGCACCTAAATTTTCAAAACTGCCTGTCTGTGACTCTTCAGAGCRTTTGTTTTGGTTATACCTTTTTGTTTCAGAAGATTTTATTATTATTTCAGTTAACTGAGTCATCCATCCGTAATTTAGTGCATGGATAAGCAGTTTCATACTACCAAATGTCTGGACTGTGTAAATGGAACTTCTCGACTTCTGCCACTACATTTTGTTAAATGTCTGTTTAAAAGAAGTATGCATCTTTTATATATTTTGCAGAGTTGAATATATGGCTTACCCAAGTTCTGAATGCTTTGTAACTAAACTGTTTTTTCCTTGAAATGGCATTCAGTAGTATATATGGTACCTGACCAATGTTTATTCCATTTAACTCCGCTAAGTATTCATTCTATAAATCACTATTTCTATGGATGTTTTGTGAATCTTTTAACGTGAGCTGTGGAGAATAAGGACCAAGTAACTGTGTTATATGTTTACAAAGGTATTTATTTAACTAAGATAACAGAGGTGCAGATATCAGTATACAAAACCATGTGAAAACACCCTGTCGCTGGATACAGCAACATGAAAACCGCACGTGTTGTTGTGACCTTACAAAGCATAAATATTCCTTTATGCCCTCTCACGAGAAGAAAACCTTTCTGTCCGTGCTGTTTCGAGATTGTTAGATATCCCTCTGTTAGGTCGCTGCTCTGAGCGCTAGCTTGGTGCTACTGGAGAATGTAACTGGATTGACCAAATAACTCGGGCTCGGAGGAGCTCCTCCCAAAAGAGCCAGAGCCAGACTTGTAGCCTGTTTGGATTCCTCCCTGGGAAATTCAGCCCTCCCTCACTACAGCATATGGGATGCATTGACACAAACRAAAGCCTGAAGCACAATGTACTAATCAAAACTGATCATCTGCATTTCTAGATCAAAGTGTATCAGTATATAATCTTATTGTATGAGCTGTAATGTTGAAAGCATCTTAGCTTAAAACAGCTTAGTCTCTTCTATGATTGTTGTAACCGATTTATGGCTACTCGGTGGATGAATCTATATTGTGATATCTATTTGACCCTAATAAAGTTATTGCATACAATGCATGTTTTCAGAGTATGTTAATATTGAAATGTCACTGCCAAACAACAAAGATAACTATTAAAGAAAAATAACAATTCCTGTGCCTGACCTTATTGGTCATATTCTTACTGTTTTCCGACACTTTTATGGGGATTGTTTTAATGTACGGTGGAGTACGACACTTCTGCAGACACCTGTCATTAAARGTCAGTATCACAAGTTTTTTAAAAAAATTAAAAATGTGCAGTTTAATACCTGCCTGCCTCTTTACCTCTCTTTCCACTGTCAGTAGGACTAGCCCAGTAYTGTGCAAACCATTGCAGTTCTGAGGATTGCTGGAAAGCCATGTTTGAGCTGTAGAGAAAACAAACTGGAATATCTAAATGTTCTCCTATTCCAAATGAGAGGAAAAACAATTTCTTCATCTATAGCTTCTCAGATGAATAAAGTATGGCAGCAGCAAAAATGAAAGTAAAAATGATGCATGTGTTTGTCTGTGTTATGTAAGAAAATGTATCTGAATGTTTCCTGTCTTCCTCTGGATTTGAGTCTTATCACATCCTTTTGCAGTTGTTGAGAAATTGAAAGTTTATTTGAGCTGGGAATAGTGACTGCGCAGCCAGGAGTTGAGCAGCTGATGAAAAAGACTGTGCTTGATGTTACCTGGATTTAAGAAAAACAGCGAAGTAAATTTGAGCATCCTTTGTGAAAGTGCTGCTGGCAGCCTCATTGCTTTCCTACTTCATCATTAGCATCTCTGCCAGTTAGTTAAATAACTAGGTCAGCCTGGAAAAAAAAAAAACATGTTCCTTGATCTTCTGTGTTGTCCCTCCTGTTTTCCCATGTGTTACTCTTTATAGCCCATTTCTCAGCTACCAAAGTTAGGAACATGTTTGCATTAGCAAGTGTAAAGCTATGGAGGAGAGGCAGGTAYGTCTGTGAGTGTGTGGGGAGGAGGGAGCACGGGACTTTCTCCCCAGGTGCCAGGGAAGGGGCACATTCACCTGCTGTTTGGGGTTCCCCATTGCCCTTGGCTGGGGAGGGGACGCACTTTGCAGGGCTGGAGCATCATTCCCTCTGTGGGAAGGCTCTGGAGAGGGCAGAGAGGGTCACTCTGGGTACCACTGGATCCTGCTTCACTTCCTGCCCAGCACACCAAGGMAACCAGGATGAGTTCAGATGCAAACCCAGCCCAGGGCTCTGCCCTGACTTGATGGGGTTTGTTTTTCTTGTGTGTGATATTTTTCCTGATGACCAAATCTCCTTCAGCGTGCCCATCAATCTGCCCATAAAAGAGCCTCAGTGATGGCAAAGACTTGCAGAAAGTTTGTGCTCCTGTTGCATGGATTCATGTTGTAATTGCCWGCTAATTATTTCCAATCTTTATAGGCTCTCAAATTGAATGAGCAATCCGGGCTGTAGCCCTGAATCAATCTTGGCTGAAGCTGTGATGTGCTGATGAAAGAGTGGCATCAACGTGCATTGCACCTCCCTGTAGTCTGCTCCTGACAATATCTCCAGAGTTTCACAGTTAATATGACAGACAGATTAAGAACTACTGAGTAAAAACTGCCACATTGTTTCATCCTTTTCTGAAAAAGTTCTTCTCCTATTATGCCGTATCATGTCACAATCTTTGTCCACTAGTTTTAAGATAGATTTGAGTCAAAATTCTTTATATTTGGGAATGGATGGTCTACTTAGCTTGTGCTTTCCCCAACTTAACTATTCTTTTTTAGGATTTCTTTTTATTCTCTGCTTCTGCTAAACCCAAGAGCTTTTCCTTTTGCAATTCTCTAACYCCAGCATTAATATTGCTATTAATATCTGGTGCTGATTATCCCATCATTTGTCAGTGCTGTCTATCCTTATGAAGATCTTAGCATTTTGATATGAAATTTTAATAGTTCAGTGGGGAGACATCCTGTTGGTTGYTTTTAGTTTCTGTTCTTACACTTTYATTGTTGTGTCCCSCCTTAATGAGATTTTAGGTCAGGGTCATCTCTAGGGGAGCCAGGGCTCTGTCACAAACACACATTTCACAACATCAGCCTTACTGAAATGCAAAAACCATTTCCTTAAAACACGAGGGGAAAACTCTGGGAAAACACCRAAAGWGAARCAGAAGCTGTGGCTTTCTACMGTGGCAATTATTKTAAGTGAACTCCCTGTAAAGATTTWGCAGTTTGAAGTGGCAGGTTGCGTATTTTGCRCAGACAAGATTGTTAACGTGTGAAACATGCTAAAAATTGACCGATAAAGGCACCTGGATATTTCAAACATAAATAGTGTGTATCAAAATAGCTACAGAGCAGATGGCCTGGCTCCCCACACACCTTGCTGACCAGAATACTCGAGCAACACGCACAGCCAAAATCTCACTGTCTTCAAAGCTGATCATCTGCAAAGGGAAGGGTTATCCTCATGCTACCCTTTATCTGTCAGGCAAAAACGCTCCTGCGTACACTAATTASTGTATCCTAGAGGGATAATGAACCCTAGGCTTGTTTGAACTCGTTACTACCCCAGCAAAGCAAATCACCTGTTCTAGAGCTCAGGCTCTCAAAAGTCGGTGAGATTAAAACAACTGYGAGCGGAAATCTGATCTACGGTGGAAAGATCCCAAAACACAGAGAGCTGCGTTTGCCAGCCCGCTCACAGCACTGCCTGCCACTGATAAACAGGCAACTGAGTCTTTCTCACTCTCATTTTTTACCTTGGACACTAAAACCAAACATTCCCATTCCACGGATTAACCGGGATGTAAGGCTTTTCAAGCCTCGTTGTATGGTTCAACAGATGTGAAAGGGAATTATCACTTCAACATGATATCARGACTCTCTYTTTTTTTTTKRKTTTTTTTTTTAGTTGATGGCAGATTACTAAGCCTGAATTCTTGTTTAATTTTAGTGTGTTAATTGATGGGATAATGAGCATTGATTATATGTGTTTTGGCTGCGTCATTGCAATTACAGGCTCTGTTTTATTCATGAGCCAGTCCTAAAGAATGCACTAGAGATCTAAGACAGCTTAAACCTCTCAGAAAAAGGCTCTGAATTGTTTGAGTAATGACACTCTTAGATGGAAAATTAAAGGTTCTCTTTTCCCATGCTTTTTAAGATAATTAAAATCCAGGAACRGTAAGGTGGTGAACATCCTTATTCATTAGCCTTCAGTAATTTAGCTTCTACTAAATGAGGAAAACATTTTAATTCTCTAGGCCATCTGTTGCAGTCTCCTTTGTRTGTCCTGTTACATAAAGTCTCATCCTGGATAGTTTTAACATCAGCTTTGTATCCTTTCACCGGGAATGATGAGCTGGATGAGGTAGTTGAAGTCACTCCCTATTAACAGACCACCCTGGGATTAAAGGTGAAGTTATCCTGTCTAGACACCTCCAGGGAAAGGATCTGCCGAGAGGAGCCCGTGCRTGGAGCTCGGCAGCGTGACAAGCTGTGTTTTCTAATAGCGATATCCATGCCAATAAATCACAAAGTTCATCGGAGCCCTTCCAGTTCCTCCAACGTGCGACTGCTCTGCCATATGGCTCCGTGCTGCTTTTGGAGGCAGGCACTCTCTGTTCGGGCAGGAGGAACCACAGCAGAGCAAGCTGCTTTGGAASTGGTTTGGAGGCAGAGCACTCTGTGCACTGTGACAGGGAAATAGAATAAATATTAGAGCAGGAGTGTGCTCACCTGGGATAAATGCTGGATCGGGAACTGGGAAATGCTTGGTTTCTGGTCCTGGCCRTAGGAATAGCTCACTTTTTAGCCTGGGGCAAGTTAAATTATCCCACACTRGAAAAGTTTCTCATTAAAATCATAATTTATATAGATCAATGGATGCAGTGTCTAACTTATTCCTGACGAGTTACATCCCCAGAGGCCGGAGTGGATCCCGACTCCATCATGAGTTTGCTTTGTTTCTGTCAAATTCCGCTATAAAATACAAGCCCCAGTGCTTGCCAGCCCAGCAGTGCCTTCCAGGAGCTGCTGCAGACGGGTGTCTTGAGCTGGCTCCACGATTCCCAGGTAGTGTTTACATTATTGATAGCCATGGCTGCGGGCAGGCTGCCTCCACGGGSCACAGCTTCACTCCACCCGCTTGCTGTTACTCCAGTTGCTTGGAGATCACAAACAGCCTGGCCTCGAGATGTGTGGCTGCAGAGCCAGTGTTCCCAGCACGAAGCAGTATTCCGTCAATCAGCCGGCTCCTGCTGCCACCAAAAAAAGCCCTCCGRCTGCTGCAGGCATGCCCAAGGGGTAAGTCATCGCTTTGTTCTGGCAGCTGGGTGATCTGCCATTTGTCTTGRAATTATCTGGATGTGTTTGTCTCTATCACATGCTCTGTAATTAGTTTCTAGGACTTCAGCGGAAGGTAAGCAGGTTTTAGGTTTTGATTGAAAGCAGGGAGGTGATKCGCACAAATGTGAGTCCTGCTGGAGATAAAAGCTGTGTGCCTGCTCCAAATGACAGCCCTGTCAAGGAGGGGATGGCAAACCCCTCTGCACTTTTCTGGGAATGGGCTTAAAACTGGGAAACTTCYTTGAGCACTTTCATGTTCTGAAGAAATTAGATGAAGTGTGTTGCAATGWCCCTCACTTAAAATTAATTAATAAGCAGCTTCAGTAACAACTCCAGGCTTAGGTGAGGGATTAGGAGCTGTGTGATGTTCTTGTGCTGCTTGTAGAGGCTGTTTCCCACTGGGAAGGAAAGGCAGTCTCCCTTGGGAAGCCCTGAGTCCCTGGGGGATTAAATGAAACAGAAATGAGCAAGCTCATTCATGGAGAAATTAAATATCCACACACAACTCACCAAGTGATAATTGTGCCTCTCTTCTTTCTCACCACCAGCATACCCATAGCCAAGCAGCTGGCATCAATAAAAGGTAAGGGGACCCTTCATTGCCCCTTTGGGGTTCAGGTCTTCCACAGCCCACGTGCAGAAGGTTCTGGTGATGTCCCGGGGCTGCAGAAGCCGTGCAGATCCTCAGCTGATGCAAGACAAGAGGGTCTCATGCGTCCCTGTGCTCCTGTGTTGTCCCTTCTCCTTTTCTGCTTGCCTTTTCATTAAAAACYACAACATAAGTCATCTGTTTAACCTCTTTGAGGGTTGTCAGCATGCAGACTTTAGGAGCCATGTAGGAGTGGGGGGAATGAATCAAGCCAAAATCCCAAGTTTGCCACAGTGCTGAGGTGCAGCACTGATGCTCAGRCATGGACGTTCCTGTGCAGCCATTYCCAAATGGGCCATGTTTCCCTGACACAGGACTCTGGAGTCCAAATGCATCCAGGAGATGGCCACCATGGCCTGTCCCCGTGGTGTGGCAGGYCCTTGCTGGATGCCCAGGGCTGGGACAGACCAGGTGGGTCTCAAGCCCCATGCTGTGTCACAGCTCCAAAGAAAAGCTTCCTTYGGGGTGTGATTCCACGGGACATGAGGCATTTTGCTGGCCCACTCCAAATAAAATCTGGGCCAGGTCCTCTGTGGGTATAAACAGTTTCAGTCTCATTAACTTTAATGAAACTACACAGATTTCCACCCACCTAGGATGGTTCTGACAGATTCCTTTCAATTATATCTCAAAAGCCGCTTTTTTTTTTTGGATAAACTTTTCCTCCCTCCAGCTCTAGGAAAAGGCTCAGACCTTGAAAAGGCTTTTGCTACAGCAGCTTTGGTGTATAACAACTGTGCTGACCCCGAGGGCAARCTGAGCAAATCTGAAACCAAGAGTTTACTGCAGTCCCAGTTTTGCCATTTCATACAGGTGAGGGGGTTTGCTGAGTGGGTGGCACTGGGACAGCCCTGGCTGGGCACTTTGGGGGCAGGAATGGYACCTCAGGCTCTGTCCTGCAGCTGGGCAAACATCAGTCCATGGGGTAATCCCAAGGGAGATTGCAGGGATTTGGTACAAATATATTCAGTGGATTTGTTGCTTTTTGTTGAGCTCAACACAGGGCGGAAGGAGGGGGACAGCAATAAACCACAGCTGATGCCTGCTGGAATTTGTTTAGAGAAAGTAGGGCAATTGCAAAAAAAAAATAAATAAATAAAACAAACAAACAAATAAAAACCCTTGGAGGATGAWGACAAGAGGCTTTATTTATGGAAAGAAGACACTCATGGCATTTAATGAGGTGTTTGGTGATTTGCCAGAGCACTGACCCCACACTGAGAGCCAACCTTGTGCCACGGTCATTGCAGTCAGTGGTGGGGCTGCTGGGAGAGAGGGACAGAATGCCCTCACCCATCCAGCTGGGGGTGGTAAAAAATAGCCATAGCAGCATTTGTGGCTGTAAACTTCCTGCTGGGCTTTTTTTTCCCCTCCCTAAATTAAAAAAAAAAAACCCTGAAACTGAAAGCAAAACAAAAAAACAAAAACAAAAACCCCTGTTTTATCAAGTGGTAGGAAAAGCTATACAGGACTAGTAAAAGAGCTCARCTAAGTAAATGAGAGAGGTAATACCTTTGTTTCCAAAACTAACAAAATCACATGACTTTAGGAAGGGGAAATTGGCACCAAATTAGAAACTAGGCACCTTATTGAAAAATAATTGAAAATATCACTAGCCAATTAAACTTGGGATCTTGAGATGGTCTGGTGATTATTAAGCTTAAAAACTATCCTGGAACTCTAGCAAGGTTTTTTTATAAGGAAACATGAATAATCGATGTGTTACATAATTGTAATAATACATCCCAACAGGAATGCCCAACAGGACCAAGAAAAGCAGTACTAAAGTTCTGCCTGTAAAATCAACAGTTTCTGACACCTTCACCATGTATATTTGTATATACATGAGTATTAAATTTAGGAGGGTTGGCTGGCTATTTCCTTCCCTCAGTTTTATCAAGACACAAGATTCAATTTTTTCCCAGCAGTTACCAGGCATATCATCATCATTGTCAGATTTTCAGTCATGATTAGGTGTCTTTTAAAAGATCTATTCTGGATTCTGGTGGAAGGTTTGAGGACTGTTCTCCTTTCTGATTGCAATAATACTTCTGTTTTTTCTTTGACTACCTTTAGAAAAACTAATATGAATGTGGACATAAAAATCCAAATGGGAAGATAGAAAAATATATTTATAGTTACATAGATGTCTTTTTTTTTCTTAAATGATGCAATAAAAAAGGAACTTCATGCTTAATTTTTTTTCATTTAAAATCCTCCATAGGGTCAAGAAAACAAACCAAAATACCAGGAGATMATTTCTTCCTTGGATGAGGAGTCAGAGAACAAAATTGATTTTGAAGATTTCATGATCTTGTTAGTCAGTCTCACTCTGATGTCTGACCTGCTGCAGGAGATCAAAAATGTGAAAACCACAAAATGATCTGTGATTTTAAAGAAGAAATGGCTCGGCACTGCATGAGGAAAGCATGAGTGAGAGATACCACGGCGTGCCTGGGTACCTTGTGCTGGTTCCATTAAAATGGAATAAAGTCGTGTCCAAACCTGGCTGAACTTACTCCTCTCTCAAAACACTTGATCAAGGTGGTGCTCGGGGATTTGTGTCTGTTGTGTTCATGCTTTGGGAGAGTGACTGGCTCCTGCTGGGTTCAAGACCAGATAACAGCTGATGACATTCCCAGCCCAGTTTAATGCAGGGGTATGGCACCCATGCTCTCCCAGACCTCTCCATCCTCTCCCTACAGTGATGTGGGAGATGATGGAGACAGAGCTGCTGAGATGTGCAGCTCCATCCCTTTGGGCAGAGCTCCCTGTGCTCTCCCAGTTACCCCAGGGGGCTTCAGCCTGCTCAGTGCTTTACCAGTGATAGATTTCACAGTGGGCAGTGACCACAAAACCCATTGCTGTCTTTGGTAAACATTGATTTTAGCCTGTTTCCACCCCACCATCAACCCTGCTGAAGGGAGCTTTCTTTTTTTTACTTTTATTTCTTCCTCCAACTGCTTCTTCATTTAGAGATCACAGTAGAAGGAATTTCAAGTCCATCATTTGCAGGGCACTTTGACAGTGCTGTGCTTGAAYGACTCAAACATTTCAGCTGAGTCTGCTGTTCCATCAAACTGAAAAGCAGGAATCAGATAAGAGGTGGTCCAGACCAGGGATGGTGGGGAAAAAGAGTGGCCAATAAATTTTATTGGAACTGGGTGATATTGGTTATGTCAGAGCCTCCATATTAAATGCTCATCATCCTAATATTTGGTTTGATTCCTACCTACAAGGTCCTGGCTCAGAGCCAACATTTTTCCCCACTGTGACATCCCTTCAGGACACAAAAACTCATCTCATGCCCCAGGAGCAGAAYGGTCTCTGTGAGGATTTAATAAGCCTCTACCCAGATGAAAAAGCCAGCAAAACACTGGAGCACTTTCAATTTTTCCTTCTTCCTTKGCTGGAAAGGAAAAGACAAGGCTGATTTAGCTTTGGTGCACGAATTTTTAACAGGAAGGGATCAAATCCTTTGGTGTTAAAAGAGGGAAATTAATGCCAGCTGAGTAACGAGATTTAACTCCTTGACATAAAAAGGCTCTTAGTGTTTCCAGGAGCTAAGAGGATGTTTTGTAATGGATTTTGATGTGAAGAAAAGACCTGTTGCAGTAGGAGACCAGCAGCTAATTGTCTGGAGAAGGAAGCTGTGTGCCTGTGCAGTGTGGGATGGAGCTGAAAGAAGAAATGCAAATGGATATGGTGGGGTTTGGAGTGAAGATCAGCAGGTCAGGTGTGGGGTTTGGAGTGAAGATCAGCAGGTCAGGTGTGGGGTTTGGAGCTCAGCCAGGACATGGCCTGGTCTGGAGGCTAAACATTCACAACTGGTCCTGCTACAAATAAAACCTTGTGTTAGCAAGGCCCTTTGCTGGGGTGGTGGGATGCAAGAACGGGCAGCATCCAGCCTGTGGCAAGGAGTGACAAAGCCAGCACACAGCATTTCTGTCTGTCTGACTGCCCCTGGTGTGTCCCTCCAGGGCATCCCCCCACTGAGGCACTGGTGACCCAGGGCTGTGATTGCTGCCCATCAAACCTCCCAGAGCTGGCATCATCTGTGCAGGAGTCTCAGTTTATCACTTACACTGTGCCCCTGGTGTTACTCAGTCTCTTTCCCCATTCCCTTGTTTTTTGACCAGGTAGATTTGTGRAAGCTTAAAATAGCAGCTTATGCTCCTTTTCTGGGGTAGAAAGATGGGTTGAATGTGAGCCTCTAGGCAGCTTTCCCACTACTAAAGCAAAGAAAACACAGCACACCTCTGAAAAGATTGTTTAGGAGACACTGGTGATGCTGGAAGCATAAATTTCCTAATATCCCTCTGTTATCAAAGATAAAAAAAGACTGAAAGGAAAAATATTGTGAAGCCAATTAAGGAAAAGTTCTTTGAAACTGCTAAGGCTCTAACAGAGTTTTTGTTATTGCTGAAATGTTTCTAAATCATGCACGACTTGAATYAATGACTTAAGAGCCTTTTATCAGATCAATTCACTCTTGTCATCTCATCATGTGCAAACTCTTTTTATCCCAATGCAGTGTGTTGAGAGCAACATCCTGAGACCCTGGCTTGCATCAAAAGCCCCTTGTGCTAAGCACAGTGAAAATTCAAAATAAGAAGCGATTCCTGAACAACTCAAGACCAAAGATATTCAAATGGTAGGGAAGGAATCTGAGGCACAGAAAAATYGAGTGCCTTGCTGAGCACATGTAGCAGAGCTGGAGCTACACAGAAGCCAAGAGGCACTGTGATGACTTCTGAGCAAAGTGAATAGGATGTGCAAGGCTCGAGCTGCATCCATCCTTGAAAGTCCCACCTGATGCTCAAAAGCAGAAGGACGTTCTTGGAAAAGCCCCAGCATCTTCTTTTAGTTCAGAGTAGGCAGAAGTTTGCAGCTTGACTGTGGAAGATGCTCTTTTATTAACTCAGACTATTTGTGGCTGCCCTGAGCACTCTCAGCTGTTGGCTTTGAAGCTGATCTGGTGCAGRCAGCGTGTCTGGCTGCATCCTCTGGGATCTGGCTGTAAGCTGGCTTTAAAGGCTACTGTTGTGCTTTATTTTGTTCCTCGCTTACTCCTGTTGGAAGCAAAGGGAGTTCATCATTGATTTCTCGTAGCAGAGCCCAGCGAGTCCTGAGGAGTTGAGCAGCAGCTGAATTGATAAAATCCACAGCTTCCTCTGCCTCAGCACGTGGAGAATCASATYAGTATCTGATGCCCTCGAAGTGGAMGTGGTGTGTGAAGAGCAGCCAGTCAAGGCCTGACCTCTGTGTTCTCAGGGTTGTGCCATGTGAGTGTTCAGGTGTGAACCTTGGGAGCTTCTGTAACTTTGGATCTAAGCTTAAAGTTCTGTTCTGAAAAGTCTGAATCATCTCTGCAGTTATATGAGCTTTCAGATGACTGCCAGAGGAGAAAGCGGGGTCAGGGAGAGTTCCAGCCTCAGATCTTCAGCTTCCATTTCCAAAGATCAGCTCAGGAAGGCAGGCTCTTTCTCATACTTTAATTAGCACACCTACAGCTTTCTCCCCATGACCTCTTTGYAACTGGCCTTAACTCTTTGGCCTGCTGGACTTGGAAAGTTTTTAAAATCTGGCTTTAGYCTAATCTCTGAGGGGCTCTCGCAGATTGCAAGAGAACTCTGGCATCTCAGTGCACTGACTTTGAGGAGGGGAGTCAGGGCAGGGTTTTGCAYGTTGAACTTTCTTCTGGGAGCCCAGGGCCACACACACTGTATGTACAATTATTCCTAAGTCTTTCAGGGGAGAGAAACATATTTTCAACTGTCTTGCAGTTACTGTACCTTCAGCAMGACCTCATGTCTGGGGCACTGGAGTCAGGGTGGTGAGGGAACCAGGCAGTCTGAGAATGTTTTCTTTCATTCCAAGCTCAGGGAAGATAGATGTAGAAAAGGGGTTTTTTTTGTGGCTTTTTGAATTGACAGCTTTTAATCCTGCATTGACTTCTACTGCAGTCAGTGGTTTACAAGGTTTCCAGTGAAATTGTGTCTCCTCACTTTGCTCACCTGCTCTTCCCTCACCCCTCTACACATGTTTGTAGCCCTAGAACTGAGTCCTTATCCAGCAGAGGTCATCAGCAAATGATGTTCAGCAGCCTGTGGGCCAAAATGCAAATTTGGGTTTATAACAAATGAGTGTGTATGGTTCGTCAAAGATCCACAGARTCTCAAACAGGACCTGGAGAGTGCTGAGGGCCTCTGGGCAGCGAGGGACCCCAAGGTGTCTCTCACTCGATGGCAGCAGCCCCCTGCAGGGATGGGGACACCTTCACATTTCTCACACGCACAGCACAAACCCTGGAACCAAGGCACCAATTTCCATTTGTGATTGCCTCTTCGTTTTTCTTCCYTTGCCATGATTCCACTTTCTTGGCTCTGTCTTGATGTGTAGAGAAACACAAAACACAGCACGTGCCCCTGGGAAGCCGCTCCTGGAATCAATGTGAGGGCAGGACCCCTTGGGTGGAGGGAAGCAGTTCCTCAAGTGGGTTTGTTTCCAACCCTCCAGTAAAACCAGCAGCCCAAACAGCTGCAGCAGYTCATCAGAGGGCAAAATCCTGCCTCTGATTATCCTGAGATGTCAATAAATGACCTACAGAATGCCAGGAGCTATTCCACTCCTGCAGCCTCTTGCACATAGAAGCTGTTTGGCCTCTGGGTGCTCAAGCATCACTGGAGCAAAGCAGAGCAAGCATCGTGTTAGATGGTCTTTGGAGARTTTGGTCTTGATATATGATATTATTGGGAGCATTGTCAAGTGTTAGTCAATGTCACAAACTGAAAAAGGAGCTCTCTGGAAAGGCAGATTTGCCTGGATAAACTGATGGAGGCCAGGTCTCTGCCTGAGTTTGGAAAATGAAGCTGACTATTACTGGGAACAGTCCAAGTGTTCTTACAGTGGGGACAAGCAGAAAAACCTACAGCCCAACCCTGAGGCCATCCCTCTTCCTCCAGTAGTGGCCCAGAGACCCTTCCCACTATTTCTTTGATCTGTTTTCCCAGGAGTATGAGATTTGTTTGCTTTGACATCTTTACTTTGACACCTGGGACTATTGGAGGAAGCCTGTGTGTGAATGCTGACCCATTTCCTGCATTTGCCGGTGAATTTTCCTTGGTCCAGTTCTGTCTCCATTGCCACATAATGCTCTTTTTGAGGTTTGTTTGAAGAAAACCTGCACTAGCAGAGACATCCAGGTCAAGCATTATATGACAGCTTGTTTTTCTGAAGCTGGCAGGGGCAAAARTCCCACTGGGGGAAGAATGTCCACAGGTAAATACCCTTTTTTCCTTGGACACTGTAGCTGCTGTCATGGCTTCCATGGTTTATACACCACTACGTGGATTATATAGAGTTTTGCCTAATTAATTAATGAAAACAAATTRCAAAAT